TTCCCGGAACCAGGTCCCCAAGACTAGCTGAGGTCTCCAGCCTTGACCAGGGTAGAAACCAACTGAGATCTCCATAAAGGGGCAGGAAGCAGCCTGCAGCGGCTGGGACCCTGATCCCTGAAACCCAAGCCCACCTGCCCACTCAGGCTCTGGGCAGAGCACTCAAACTCCTGGAAGAGCGTCTGGCCCAGCAGCTTGGCTCATGACAGTGAGAGGCAGTCACAGAGGTGCCTGCTCCCCAGCCAGGAGAAAGCTGGCAGAGAGCAGCCCCTCCTCCACAAGAGGCCTGGAGTTAGAAGGGAAAGGGTGGTCAGGGTGCCTGGAAGAGGCCTCACACAGGCCCGGATGAAAAGCCTCAAAGACACAGGGTGCTTTGGAACGTGTTTAATTTTTTTATTTTTTTTAATCAACATGCAATATACATATTTAAACCAAGTTAAATGATTCAGAACTACAAGCCAGGGACACTCAACATGTCAACCCCTGCCTGAGTGGCCAAGGGTGGTGCAGCTCCCACAGGGAGAACATGGCATAGAAAGAAATGCTTGGGGGGGGGGAGGGCAGAGCACTCAGGAGGCCTTCCTCTTCCTAGGGGCGCCCTGGCTAACCCCGCATGCGAGCTCTCAAGCTGCCCGAGACTGTTTTCCACACAAGATGCTGACCCAAGGTGAATGCTGGGGGGGGGGGCACACCACTCCCTCCCCCCTCCGGGTACAACCCTCCAGGGACTTGCCTGGTGTGTGTTCATACCACATGCAAAGGAAGGGTACCCCTCCAATGTGCAGCGGGAAAAGCTCTAACCAGCCTCAGATCCACCCTAGGCTGCCCTGGGCTCCACTATCACAGCCAAGGAGGCTAGAACAGGAGGGAGCTGTCTGCTCAGGGGTCTCCAGACAGTCCGTTCCTTCCCACACAGGGCCATATGACGGGCCCTGACCACCTGATGTGGACATGTCAAACACACTTTGCTCAAGGCCACCTAAGGTCTCACTTAGGCCTCTCCCACGGGTACACCCCCATCTAACAGGAGTCTGAGACCCCGAAAGCTCACCCTGGCCCGACTCCACATCGGGGCCTATCTCCACCACTCTTCACCTTTCCTCTCCAGCCCATGTCTGGCCCTGGAGGTCGTCCATTCCTGCTGCTCGCACTCACGGGATCCCTGCCCCACCCTGGAGAGGGAAGGCTCCAAGCAGTAGACTTCACTGCTCAGCAACAAGCTTGCTGAGGGCTTAGCAGCCTTAGCCACAATCGCCGCTCCCAGGAAGCCCAGGAACAAGGAGTGTTCCTTGATCCCGAGGCCCTGAGGCCGGCTCCCGCCGGAGATTCAGTAGTTACACGGACAAGGGTGGATCTGGAGAGAAGGAAGGAGAAGGCGGCGCGTGTCGACGCGGCACGTGTCAGCAGCGTGGGCTAAAGACCAGGCTACGGTGCGCGGGGGTCCAGGGCCGGTGTGCGTCCGGGGTCGTCGCTCCGCACCCCGGCCAGCCCGCGACCCCGCACCGGTCTCAGCGGCCGGGAGCTGCCCCCTCCCTCCCCCAAGCAGACCTTGGCCGTCGTGGGCCGCCGCTGTCGTCGTCGTCGCCGTGCGTGCCGGATCTAGTGGTCCTAAACATTTCACAATTGCGCTACAGAACTGTTGAACTGTTAAGAACCACTGGACCCGGCGCGCCTGCAGACGGAAGCTCCGCGTGGCCGGGAGGTCCGGGGCCACAGGTCCGCACCCTCCCACGACCTGGCCCGCGTGGCCCGGCTGCACTCCGTGCGGCGGCGGCCGGCGTGGCTGCGCCTTTTATGCCGCCCGGCCGCCCCACTCGGCGCCGGAACGCGCCAGCCACGCTGGCCCGACCGGTTTTTCCAGGCCCGCGGGTCGCACGGCGGGTCGGCCCGAGGCCCCGGGACCGGCTCCGCGTGCCCGCGCGGGGGTGGCCCTGAGTCACCGGCCGCGCCCGGCGCCCAGCTTGGCGCACCTGGCCCGGGGTCGGTGCAGGGGCCGCACCCGGTGGAACCCTGAGCACCGGGTTTGCAAAGCGAGCCAAGGGGCCACGCCGGCGGGGCACGCACCGAGCCTCGCGGGGGCGGGACAGGACACGCCCGCACCGCGGACTCGCTTCAAAGAGAACTCCGTGGGAGGAGGAGGAGGGAACAAAGAGAAAGTGAAACTGGGGGGGGGGGGGCTGCGGTGAGTTTCTGCTTCCCAGACCTGGGCCTCTCGGGCAGTCGGAGGGGGCGGCGCGAGCCTACTCTGGGTCCTTCCGCCAGCCGCCAGGGACCTCGTCCCCAGCCCAAAGCGCCCCGTGTGCTCTGCACCTGCAGGCGCCCTGCCTTCTAAGTCGCCGAGCCCAGAAGGGTCCCATTCCGGTGCAGCCCGCTGCAGGGACAGTGTTAGAGGAAATGGAGAGCTTTTGGAGGTGGAGGTCCGATTCATTCCCTCAAAACTTAAGACTCTGAGGACCAGCAGGAGGTTGTCATAATTTATTCATGACCAGCCTAGGGGACACCCGGGTCCTCCGGATGCCACAGACTGGGACCAGTCAGGAGGCAGCCACTGGGCTGTGAGGGAGTCCCTAGATTTGCAGTGATGCACTGCTGTTTAACTGTTGCATTCAGCCTGTAGGGTGAACAGTGGAGGTTTGGGGGTTTCATTTTGCGATTGGGTAAACAGCCTCAGAGAGCGGCAGTGACTAGGTTCACAGCCCTCGGGCAGTCTGTCGGTAAGTCTGATGGAATGTGGAGTCAGAGGGACCGACTGGCCTGGAGGACTAAGTGGAATGGCTAAGAAGGGGCAAGCAAGATTCACCTCACCAGGCACACTCACTTACCCTGGAAGTTATCTCCTGTTCTCAGCGAGAAACCCTGGAATAGCAAGACGGGGAAACAAAGAAGAACCCTTCACAAGCAACCTAGCCTGCGTGGGCTTCCGTGCCTCAGCAAAGGTGGGCGCTATGCCTCAGACGGGACTTTGGGGAGGCAGGCGACAACTTCAGGTCCCTATGGCTCTCTTACAACAGGAAAAGAGCCTTGCAAGAAGAGAGGGTTGGGGGTGGCCTGGAGGGCTCTCAGCTGGGGAGTCTGATTATAAAATAGAAAATGCTGGGAAAACAGAGGGTGTGATTAAAAGGAGATGTTCCCTAGAGATAACCCTGGCCTCAGAGGAGTTGCGGCCTCCCTAGAGGGAAATTACCAGTGTGAAAAACAGCAGTGAGCCCTGCCTGCTGAGGGCAGGGCTCTGCCTTCCTCCCACTCATGAGGAGGGCCCTAGAGCTCCACACCTTATCCAAACCGGAGTCTGGTCTTATAGCAGTCAGGGTCACCTTAGCTCTCTGCAGCTGCCCACATGAGACCCCAGTGCTCCTGAGTGGCTCTGTCCCTTACATCTGGGAGACGGAAAGATGACCCAGTGATCTTCTTAGGGGCCTGGAAGGAACTTGTGAGGGCCCCAAAGTGTTGAATCAAGCATGGATCATGCCCTCTGTGTAAGCAACTTATCCATGACCCTCAGAGGAGCGTACTCATGGAGTATCTGTCTTCCTCCCATGGTTTCCGGATAGCCAGCACCTGTCAGCCCAGGGTCTGTCTGACGTGAGGCTGAACTCCTTCATTGTTGAGAGGCCCCTGAGAACCAGGTCTGGCTGGCTGGCAGCCCTAGTAGAAGTCCCTATTACCTCCCCAACTCCTGAAGCCCCCTGACTCTTGTTACCCCGTCTCTGCAGAACCTGTGTGACCAGCGTGGGGAAAAGCTCAGTCAGGTTTCCCCAGCTGGCAGGCCAGCACCTGCTGGGGGAGGGGGGCTTGCACAATCTCCTAGTGTGGTGTACCCTAAGCCGTGGATGGCTCTACCAGAGAGAAAAGTGAGAGCCTGTTATCTGCAGACTGGGTTCACGTTCCATATCTTCCTCAGACCTATGCCTGACAGCCTGGTCGGCCTGCCATGGACCCCGGAAGTCTCAGCCCACAGGTGATATCAGGACTGCTGATGCTCCTGCCCTGTGGCCCCTCTCCACCCACTCATCAGGGATTCACTGAGGTGTGGGGCAAAGGCTTCTGGGCCCTGCTGAGTTCGGGTGGTGTCACCAGGTTGTGCAAGGTCTGAACACACCTGTCTGGGTGAGGAGCTGGGAGGCTGCCAGGCAGCGTCTGCTGGGGCCTGGGAACCAGGCTGAGGAGCCTAAGGCGTGGGTACGGGAGCCTCAGCCTGGCTCACCCAAATGCCAAGGGCCGGCTCTCAGGGTCCCACTTACCCACCATCCTCGGGGTGCACATCCTCACGGGGGCCTGGGTGGTTTTCTGTCTAGGGTCCCAAAGGACAAATGAGCATTCTCATGCAGGGACAAGGTAGAGACGGGGAATCTGAGGCTCAGGGCAGCTCCTTGCTTCTGGCAAGGAAGGGTGAGGGCTGTATGTGTCAGAGTAGGTGGCTAGTGTCTCATATCGGAGGAATTAGCCTGGGGTGGGTCCTGTCCTTGCTAGATGTTTAAAGTTTGGACTTCGGGCTGAGCAGAAACCCACTTCCTAAAGTAAGTCCCGCTGTGCCTTAGCCAAGACCTACAGCTGCCCACCCGTGTCAGGATGCTTGCTTGCCCACCCAGAAGCCTTGCCTTGCCTGTAAGATGCCCAGGTCACAGAGGGGAGCTGGAAATAAATGCCCCATGCTTGGGGGCTATCTGCCAGAATGCCGAGGTTTCCTGTCACTCCCCTTCAGCCCCTGGCTGCCTGAAGAGGTGAGTTAGTCTCAGACAAGAAAAATCAGGAAGATGGGACAGAAGTTGCCCAAGGGGGTGGGATTGGGATGGGGCTTACGGAGGCCTTCCCCATATCACCCTATCCTACCATGCCTGGCCAGCCTCAAGACGATTGCTTAAGTGGATTACTGTCTGCTGTGGGTGGCTGTCCCACAGCCTGGGACCTGCTCCCCACATGCCTACGCAGCCACAGTCTACACAGAGACCTATGCAGGCCATGCAGCAACCGTCCCTGCAACTTTATTGACATCCTGCTCAACAGAGAGAGACCTCCAGATTTTGTCACAGTTCAGCAGGAGCGGCTGGTACGTGCCTGAGGTCCCTCGGGCAGTGAGGAACACCTCACGATGCCGCGGGATGGCATGCTGCGGGATGGCAGACTGAAAGCCAAGGAGGACTTCCTGGAAACAAGGTCTGCTGAGGATGCATGGAGGATGTGTCTGGGGGCGGGGCTCCCCTACTCTGCCCCAGGTAGGTATTCTGTGTATGGAGTCCAGCCATTCCAGGAGGTGGGGGTAATCCAGCCAGCCTCAAAACTCCAGAGCCGCCAAATACTGCAGTGCAGATGGATGTCAGCCGTGGAGCCCAGGCCCTCCCAGTCACCCAGCTCAAGACTGGGTAGGGTGAAGGTCTGAAGTGGACCTTGCCTGCATGAAGCCCCAGCAGCTTGTGTCCCCATCAGACTGCTCCTCCCAGAGCCCCATGAAAGGCTCTGAACAATGCCTCTGTCCACCTCCACTTCCTCAGGCTGTCTGCAGAGCAGGCTCTGGGATACCCGGTGCCAGGATCCAGCTTCAGACCAATGGGAGCTCACTGAGGGGACATCAGCCCCGCCCAAGACTTAGTGGGCCTGGGGCTGGGCACTGAGCCCATCCTTAAAGCTCTGTAGCAGCGTTACCACACCAGCATTTCCAGCTGCTTCAGCCTGTAGGAGAGAGATCTGTAGGACTGCTTGGACTCCAGCAGCCAGAAGCCCCAAAGCCCCGCCCACTGGGACTGACCCCCCCCCCCCCCCCCCCCCCCCGCCCTGGGGACTGATAGGACACACCCCATGGGTTGGGTTGATTCTGAGGAAATATGTCCCTAGGAGGGATGGGCAGCTCCCAGTACAGGCTCTGGGAAGGAGCTGAGGATCTTGAGGAAGCCTCCAGAACAGGGTACAATGGTAGGGACTCACTACTTGCAAGGCACAGCGTCCACCATAGTCCAGCTGTCCTAGGTCAGCCCCTGCCTGCCACCATGCCCTCAGGCCTTCGGTGTCTGCCCTGGATGCCAGCCTGGGGGTAAGGAGTAGGCAGAGGGAAGCTGTCAGGACCTGCTGGGCCCCTCAGCTGCCTATCTTCTGTATGTGCCCCTCCCAGTGCCCTGGGTACTCTTACAAAGATGGCCCTAAACAGCTGATCTAGCAGCACCCAACCCTGGGCCAGGAGTCCCAGCCGCAGGCAGCCTGGAGTCTGCTTTCACCTATGGAGTGTGACTGTGACTCAGGTCAAGGGCATGAGCTCATATACACACACACACACTCACACAATCACACACTCATACAGACACACATATACTCACACACATAATCACACACACTCACACATACACACACTCACACTCTCACACTCACACACACACACACACACGCATCTGTGAGCATGTACATACTCATCCCTCACCAGTTTCATATTTCACAACACAGATTTGGTGACTTGTCTGGCTTGTCTCAAGACGAAGGAAATACAGACAGCCAGTAGGTGTAGAAGGGAGTTCAGGAAGTGTAGGGTTCAAGGTAGCCCTGGACCCCAGTAGGCTGCAGGAACACCGTGGTTAGGGAAAAACCACAGGGGTCACTTTCCCTATAGTGGAAGGCTGGGGTGGACAGCCTTGTCCCTGGACAATGTCTTCACTCTCCCATGCTCTGCTTTCCCACTCTTGAGAGCCCTGCCCCGCCCTGGGTAAGCTGGGGGTAGAAGAGACCCAAATGACCCCATGACTCCTTCCTGTCCAGGAAGCCACAGTCCCCCCTGGGGTGGATGATGCTGGAAGCGGCTCCAGGCATCCCCATTTTCCTGCACTGGTTCCCCACACCTCAGCCCAGCCAGCACCTCAGTTTCCCTATGTCTCACTGTCAGGCCTGCCTGTGTAGCCCTGAATCTAACTACCCAGGAGACCTTTCAATGCCAGCCGAGGCCAGCTCCATCCTCTCGGGCCCTCATTCCGACCCTCACCCCGTTGCCTCTGTGAGCCACCCTTATCCCTCCATCTCAGCAAACATCACTTTTCTCCTAGGATACTGCCGACCAGTGTAGGGGCCTGAGCCTGGGGCTGGTAGACTGAGGATGTCCCAACAAATGGGCCTGAGGTCTCATGACAATCGCCTGCGCCCTGGGCAAGATGGACGTGCCGCTGACAGCACCCCCCCCCCCAATCACCCACTGCCACAGCCCAGATTTGCTCTTCTCTTCCCCTTATGCCAACCAAGCCCACAACACAGGCACACCCTTGCTGAGGGTTCGGTTGGAAAGGGGAACTCTGTCAGTCAGGCCACCCAGGTGTGGGGTGTCCCTCTTTAGCCCCACCTGGCTGACCTGACCCTCGCATTGCCTTCCTGGACCCTGAGACCATCACCCGTAGATAGAGGCGTTCATGCCATCACCTGCACAGTTCTGTCCCGACGTCCTCCAGCTCCTGGGGAGACAGGCAAGCCCCAGCAGCCCGCAGCAGCCCAATGACACCGTGATGCCTGCACGGCATGAAACAGGGTCAGCTGTCAGTGTGGCCCAGACCCGCAGGCCTCATTCAGCCCTGGGGGTGGGGGTCAGGGGTCAGGAAATGCCCACCCAGACACCCACAGCCTAGTTCCAGAAAGGGACAGTCCCCTGGTTCTTTGCCACATGGCTTCCATTCATCCAAGGCACCTCCACAGGGTGTCAGGGTGTTCGGGGCCACAGGTGCTAGCTGGCTATCTGGACAGCTCTTACAGGAACTGCACACCCCAGGTGGCCTCCCTGCCCAGCTGGGAGCAGCACCTCAGCCGTCAGTTCCCAGTGTGTCACACACCCGAAGTGACCAGCACAGGCTCTGGGGAAGCCACGTGAGTGGTGACCCAATGCCACCCTTGGATACAGGGTGGGGAGAGTTATGGCAGACGAACATGAACAGCGGGGGCTAGCTGGGCCCTGAGCCGTCAGTCAGAGCCAGACCTGGACGGGTGCTGCCCGCTGGGGCTGGGGATTCAGTAGGGGCTGAGGTACAGAGCCTGCCAGACCTGTGCTGGGAAAAGAAGGCTCAGCCTCACACACACACCCCCACCCTGGGGTCTCACCACCAAAGGAGGAACCAGGACCGGATACTGCCATCTGATACCCCGAGCAGCTCGCAACACCCCTCCCCCAGCACCCCAGGCTCTGCAGGTCCCCAGGCAGACAAAGCAAGTCCCACTGTCTGGCCAGGCCATGCCAAGCTGCCTCCATGTGTACCCGGCACTGCATGCATACCCTCAGCACCTGATGATGCTCTCAGCTCTAGGACAGGGACACCAGCTGGGTCATACAGTGTGACTTAGCCTTCTGCATGAGACTGGAGAAGCTGTCAGGCATGAGGGCACCCCAGGGCCCCATCTCTTTTCCCTTACAGGCTGTTGGGTAATGCCCAAACACCCACCATCTTAGCATTTCCAGGGCAGGGCTTGTCCTGCCTGTCAGGCAGGACTAACTAACTGCAGAGGACGGATGAGCGGAAGGTGTTACCAATCATGCGGAATCATCCTTCCATGTGGGCTGAGGGCCAGTTGGGGACCCTCCCCACAGGACACCTGTGCTAGCTTTCTCTGCCAGATCTTCGTCTACATGGACATGTGGAGTCACCAGGAGCCTCTCACACTCCTATCAATGCTGTCCTCCTTCCAAGATGCTGCCAGCATCTTCCGAGCCATCTCCTCCATGAAGCCCTTCCAGATTGCCCCACAGAAACAGGCCTCCCCTCACTGGCCCTGTTCACACTCCATCTGATCTTCGGTCACACCAAAGCAGCCTCCTCTCTGCAGCCACCCAGCCCACATGCTGCCTGCGGAGCCCAGGCTCTCCATACCTGCCCCTCACGGCCAACAGCAGCGGGCTACGGCCATCCTCATCACGGGCATTGACATCCACACCCTTCTGTAGCAGCGTGGTGACCACCGCGGCATGGCCCCTCCGTGCAGCCACATGCAGAGGGGTTTGGCCACTACAGTCCTTCAGGTTTAGGTCTCTGCCCTAGGATGACATAAGGGTACACAACCTCAAAAGGGGGAGGAGCTAGGCAAGGTCAGGTGGGCCACACAGAGGGTTGGGAAGGATGGGAGTGGGGTTTGTAGATCCAGCCACCCACTTCCAGAGAGCTCCCCGCCCCCCCCCCCCCCGCCTAGTATGTAAGCCCCCTGCCCAGTGTGGCTCAGGAGAGTCTGCCAGGCCCTGGGGAGAGTGTTCTGCCCATGTGAGCAGTGTCCCACCCTGGGGGGGGGGCTCACCAGCTCCACGAAGGCCTGCAGAGTGTCGAGGTCACCAGCATGAGCTGCAGCCAGGGCCAGGCTAGGCATCAGGACACCCTGCAGGGCATCAGCCTCCTAACGGGAAGGCAATGGCAACATGGACCGCTGCTATCCAAGGCCCTGAGTACCAGGGTGAGAACAGATGGTGCCAGGGTCCCCTGACGGTGTGAAGCCCATTTCCCCACACAGTGGGGCGGGCGGTCTCACTAGAAGAGGAAGTGTCCCCACGAGGCCTCTGGCAGAAGCCTCCATGCCCACCCACAAGCCCACCTGTCCCCAGGCCCAGGAAACAAAGGCCAGGTCACCAGGCCATACTGTGGTTCCCTCCATCTACTCTCTACGAGGCTGACCCCTGACCCTCCCGCCCTGATCAGTTTCATTTTCTGGCCCCACTGCTGACAGGGTGTCATTCTCTGAGGGGACACAGGAAATGGTGCAGCTTTCTACCCCCATGCACCCCCCAAAGAGTCTGAGTGCACGGGGTGACACTTCTGGAAGAGCCCAGCACCCATAGCCAGCACCCACAGCCAGTTGCCCAGGGTTCTCCAAGGCCCCAGCACCCATGGCTGGCTTAATCACCCTTGTGATCAGCTTCTGACCAGCTGGGCCCTAGAGGGATTAGGAACCTCACACAGCCAACCTAAGGACAGGCCTCCAGCCACAGCCAGCATGGAGCAATTAACCAGCTGGGCTCCTGAGCCCTCGGCTGACCCACTCTCCTGAACACTCAAATAGTGAGGGTAGAGGGAAGCTTGGAGATGAGGCCACGTGCCAAGGTGCATGTGCGGGGCCTAGAGCTCCCAGCTCAAAGTCTTGAAGAGACCCCAGTCAGCCCTGACGACTCAGGACAGAGAGCATCCGCCTTGCTTGGGCTCACTCCAGTCCGAGGTCCAAGCCACGACTGACATGCCCTGGCTACAGCAGCGCCTGCTGGTGCCCGCATCTCTTATCTACACACAGCTCTGCCCTATGATCCCTCCAAATCTTCACCACCAACCCCAGTTCTGCGCCAGAGTGACAGTGGCAGTAGATGATGGGTCCTGCCATCCCGCGAGGGAGTTCAGGCCCTGCCACTCCCAAACACTGCAGCCGGTACCTGGCTGCCTTTCAGGCTGAGAAGCCCTGCTACCCTGCAGCCCAGTGAGTCATCCCGCAGCAAGGACTGGTGCTCATCTGTCACGGGCAGCGTCATCTCCCCGCGAAGATTCTTGGCCAGCAGCTAGAATAAGGTAAGAGGCTGGTGGGTTTAGCCAGCACAGGACCGGGGAGGACCTGGGTTCCCCGGGCAGGGTGTAGCATTACATCCTTGCCTTCAGCAGGGAGACTGGCCTGCCACAGGGCTGACAGCCACTTCAGTGTTCCACCCACACACGGGCTTAGTGTGACCCCACCGATCCCCAAAGAAGGCTAATGCTGCCTCCCTCCCTCCCTCCCTCCCTCCAAGCTCAGGGTTTCCTAAGCCCTCACTCAAGCAGGGTCTGGCAGCAGCTTATGGGCCTGGAGCCCTGTGGGTCTGAGTCCCACCTGGGAAGGAGGAAGCAAGGGCAGGATGTCAGGAGCAGTGGGGGAGGGGTGCTGACCAGGTACTCAGTCCCCAAGAACCCCCAGAGAAGACAAAGGCATGGTCTGGATGGACTGAGTCAGGGCTGTCCTGACTTTCCACAGGGAATCCCCTTCCACTTCTAAAACACACACGAGTACTCCTCCGGGCCTTCCCAGGAGCCCTCGGGAGTCAGCAGGCATGCATGTGCACACAGAAGTGCTCTAAGTCCCTGTAATAGTCCCAAGGGTGCACACACCTTCTTCCTGTCATCCAGGCTCAGCCCTGGCTGGCCTAGCACATAGGACAGTTTGGCCAGGGCAGCCTCTGATGTCATGTCGAATCCTGAGACGATGCCAGCTCCTGCCATGGCCTGTGGGAGGGGCAAACAGGCCAGAAAGGGAGGCTGGCTGGCTCAGGGACCGCCCCTGGCTAAGGGGAAGCAGGATCCAGAAGCACAAGCCATCACACTGCCTTTCCCTGGGCCTGTTTCCTACCCTACCATGCCAGATGCATAATCCGAAGTGACAGCCCCCTGGAGGCAATGGGTGCAGTTGACAATGACCAGGCCTTGTTCAGCTGCCTCCCGCAGCTCCTGAAGCAGGTCTGGCTTGGTGGGACCATTCCCAGAGCCGAAGGTCTCCATGACCACACCTTTCAGCGGTGGCTGCAGGAAGGTCCGGACCTGTGTAGGTAGGACACAGGTTGGGAGAGTGCTGGCCTAGCCAGCAAGAGCAGCAGGGCTTGTCCTGCTTCTCAACTGTCTGACTTCCCTCTCTGGTACCCTGGGTCTCTGCCTGTGAGGAGAGCTGAACCTTGACATCCCCCCTTCCCCTCCAAGCGTTAGCCTGGAGGAGCAAGGCTCCTAACACTTGGAAGTCCTCAGACAGGGCCCTGCCCTGCCCAGACTCCCACAGGCTGGACAACTTCAAAGGACAGAGGACAGTTCTGTGTCCGCCCAGCACCTTGTATAACAGGTAAGGGAGGCACCAGTCACCACAGAAGAACTGGTACCAAGAGGCTGAAGATAGGAAGCAAGGGAGGGCCAGAACCATGGCCAGAAGAGGCAGAGTCCAGCAGTGTATGAGGAGGGAGCAGCGCAGACACCGGCCAGCCTGGGCTGCGGACTAAGACCCTGCCTGAAAAGAAGACAGAGTCCCGGAGCCTCTCAAGTGTCCACGCAAACAAGCCCACGTTCGGTTTAGGTGCCCAGCCTGGCACCTTCAAGCAGGCTACACTTCGCCCAAGAAGAGCCGAGCCCAGCTGAGAAAGAGAGCTTACATGGGTAGCTGCTGGCATGTTTTGCAGACCTTGGCCTGAGACAGGCCCGGGCCAGGGGGAGTGAATCTACAGACCCAGTATGAGAAACATATACAGAATGACATCTCCCATCAGAGCCCCAGGGGGCACGAGCACACGCTCCACGCACACGCTCCACGGAGAGCACCGAGAGCGTCCGCAAGGCAGCAGCTTCCCTACCAGCGAGGCAGGAATCCCAGGGTAAAGGCGCAGCAGGCCCACGTCACACTCCATGCTGCTGTGTACCACCAGACGGTCCTTCCCGCCGGCCTTCCAAACCAGCTCACGGTTAACTGAGGGCAGAGGGGAACCAGCTCGCGGTTAACTGAGGGCAGAGGGGAGTGTCACAGCTGCAGGTCACTGGGAACCCAGTCTTTCATGCCCACCCTCTGCCCATCCTCCCTCCAGGAATCGTAAGCCTCAGGCTGGCGCCAGGCTCCACGCAAGCCCTTGGCCTGGGAGGCGGTGTGAGGAGAACGGTCGATGGCCAAACAGTGGTAACATGGGTGATGGGACCGAGGGCTGCAGACCATGGCTGCCAGGTGAGGGAGAAGCCAGACTACGCTGCAGAACAAAGAGCTGCTCCAGGCTAAGGGTCCAGCGTGCACTAAGGCTGGAGCAGAAGTCTGCCTGTCCCAGAGGGAGTCCAGGCCGCATCCTCTGACAGAGTGCCTGGCCGTTGCCCTCTCCCTGGAACGTCCTATGCCCACTGCGTGCCACGTAAACTAGTTATCTTCTTGACATACACCTTCAAAGAAAGCCTCCATCTAATTTACCCCCAAATCCCAGGGGCCTAGCAGTGCCCACCACCCTCCCACACCGTCACTGGGTAGTGGCAGAATCCCAGGCCAGGGGAAGGAAGACAGCGATAGGAATTTGGGGTCAGCATCCCTTACACAGATCCATACAGGGGACCTTCCAGAGGAGTACCTTGTCCACAGGGTCATAGGGCACTGTGAGGTCAATGCCCAGACACTACCCGTGGACAGGGACAGGTAAGAGCAAGCGATCCCTTGCAGCTCATGAACCCTGTGCACACAGAAGTCTCCAGCCCAAGAGATGGACCAAATGACACCAGGGTGTCCTCTAGCTCAGCCCAGGATGCCTGAATCCTGGAGAGAGGAATGGTCTCGCTTGAGGAGCTATGAACAGAAGCCAGGCACAGAGCCAGGGCCAGACCACAGGTCTGGGCACCTCCTCCAAGACTGTCCACATGCTGTCCTTCTGACCCCAGGGCAGTCACATGTGATAAGCAACTGGACAATAGTCTGGACACACACTGAAGGGTAAGGTATGAGGGAGGGAGGGGCAGGAGAGGGAGCAGGCTCCTCAAGCTGTGACTGCCCACCCTACCGGCTACCGCATACATCAGCTGACACAATGGCAGTGTGAGATGCCCTTTAATTTAGAGCCGTGCATCTCAGCTGGGCGGACAGATAAGGCTGGGGGTAGGGGATGGTTGCCACCAGAAGAGTTATGGCTGCACAGGAGGGTTGCACAGAGACAAAGGACCACCCCATCCTTATGAGACAGGAAGTCTCTCCTAGAACCTTAAGTCCTCCCCACAGGGACTCTGGGACATAAAGGGGAAGGCAGCGATGACATCCACAAGCTGGCTGCCATGTTGGCCCTTTAATAGCCCCTGCTGTGCTCTAGGCTGAGAGGCCTAACCTGGCAGTCAAGTCTGCCCTTAGCCCTAGGGTCCGAAGTGGCCCAGCTACTTCTGGGGGGCAGGGAGCTCCCAAGTACAGAGAAGGGCACAGGGTTCCACACGTTTGTGTGTCAAAGGCACGGCATGAGACCCCAAGCTAGTGGGTAACATGACCAAGGGGCGTGTTTGCAGCAGGGGTGGCCGCTTCCTTAGCTCTTCTACTCTGCTGGGCTGGAGGGTTTCCTAGCAGAGGCGGGCGGAGCTGCAGGAAGGAGCGAGGACTAAGGACCGGGGTGAGGGGCTGGGAGTGCCATAGAGGTACACAGGAGTGGACAGGGCCAGCAAGACCTAGCTGCCCCGGTGACGTGTCCCTGTGCCGGTGCAGACTGACTGAGCAGTCTCCGTCTTGTCTGGCACCGGGGATGGCCCCCTGCTCCCCTCATGTCCCAGAAGGTAAATGAGGAGCCTGTGGGAGGCCCACGTTGCATAGATCATCAGGGCCCTGTCCCGGAGATGGCTGGCAGGAGCCCCAGTACCCCTCCCCAGGCCCCCAGCAGCCACGCCCTGAGCAGAACCCCAGATTTCTCAACATGAGATGTCAGAACCGGCTGGGCAGCCTGACAGCATCGAGAGGGCGAGGTGCAGGTTCTCACACACCCACACATGCAGAGTAGCACATCAGGATATTGGGCTGGCACTGCGGGTGAGCCTCAGCTCTGGGGTAGGGAAGCTGCTACTGGGCAGGGCCTGTAGCCCGGGTATCCCAGCATGGCACAGGCTTTTAGACTCGGGGTGAAGGCCTCTCTGCCCACAGGAGATGCCCCAATCCTGAGTCTGGATGATGAGTGAGTCAGGTTTGAAGAGCTGAGCTTCAGGGTAGTGCCCATATTCACTGCCCCCCATTCCTGGGCCAATAATGTCACCACCCAGAACGGCTAAGAGCCAGCCCGACACGAGCACCATTTAAAGCAGGCTCTTCCAACGAGGCTTCAACAGGTCCAGCCCCCACATAACAAGCGGACCTCTGCCACCCCAGAGCCCCTGGGGTACAGGCCTGGGGTGAGTGGCAGAGAAGGGCGTGCAGGAGAAAACCCAGGATGAGCTCGGTCCCCGGAGCTCTGTGTGGGAGGGGAGAGGACGAGGCCCTGCTCTCTCTGGAGGGTCGACTCCTCCTGAACCTGGGTCAGTTTCGGATGCACAGGAAGAGTACCAAGGGCAGACATGTGCAGGTCCCAGCAACACTGTTTCCCACCCACAGGACCTGCTGTGCCCAGGCAGAAGTACAGTGTGGGGAGAGCTGCCTCCGCCCTCCTAGAGAGCTGGGACACTGCCAGTCAGCCTGTCAAACAAGAGAGCTGGCTCTAGACTAGCAGCCCAACCTTACCATGCACATGGTGCCCGGTCCTACTAGATGCAGACTCAGAGACGGAAGCTTGGCTCTGCCAGAGCCTCCCCAAGACAGGTCTTAGGCTAGAACTCCACATGCAGCAGGTCGGGAACCAGAGCCTGCATCTGTTGCTAGGCAGGTCCAGGTGCTCAAGAACCAGGTGCCGGTGGGTAGTAATGCGCCTGCCCCAGGACCAAAGGCTGTTCAAGCCTCCTCTACACCTGGATAGCACGGGCCCGAAGGAGAGCAGCTGCCCTGAGCTCAGAGAGACAGACCTTCGGGTATGTATCCAAGATGGAAACTCTAGGGGCTGCTAGAGTCAAGGTCTGACTTTTTTCATGAGCCACCCACACTTAGGGTAAGGAGTTGCCAAGCCCTTAATGGAAGCTCCAGGACCAGGGCTCTCTGGGGCTGACTCCAAAGAGCTGTGTCATAACACAAAAAGTTGGTTCTAAGAAGGGGCCAGTGTGTGCACCAGGGCCACAGGCTGTCACAGAGAGGAGCTTTCCAGCTAAGGGCCACTCAGTGGGACAGAGCCCACAAGAGCTGGATCCTCCAGCTCCAAGCCTGTGTTCACCATGGAGGTTTCTCACCTCTACACAAGAACTCAGGGCCCCAGCAGGCCCTGCTTTCAGACCCTCTTACTTGTGACATCTGCACCCACGGTGGCCAGAGGGGGCAGGTTGGGGGAGCAGAAGGCTGCAAACCTCCGAGCGTCCACCTTGGTTGTCCGGTTGCCCCGGAAGAGCTGATTCTGGAAGAATAGGCAGACCTGCGGAAGGCAAGGCAGAAGCTCAGGCGGCTTCCCGACATCCTCCAGCTCTCCCCAACCCCCCACCATCAACCCAGCAAACCAGTGAAGGCCCCAGTCCTCTGGTGCCCTGGGAGCCCGGGCACCGAACGCAGATGACCGACTGCGCTGAGCTCAGACCACGTGACAAGGAGCCAGCGACTCCTCTGGGCTGAAGAGGGTCAGGGGCGGCCTTTGACCTGCCTGGTTCTTTCACACCTCACCCTAACACCACCAGTCAGACTGCTAAAGACAGATACCTCAGGGATGATGTACTGGCCGGCCATGAGCAGGGCCCCCAGCAGGTTCTCACGGCCATCGCTCCACAGTGCGTGGATAGGTACCTGGGGAGAGGCCAGAGGGTTGCCTGAGGCCTGGGAAGCCAGGACACACCCAGCCCCCCCCCTCCAGCAAACCCTCAGGCCCAGGCAGGGAGAGGGGCTGAAGAGGGCATGGGCTGGGCAGTGGGGGTGGGGTTAGCGGACTCCCAAGGCTGGTAACCACCAGCACCCCTGACAATGTCAACCCGCACTGGGCACCTTGACATCTCCATCCCACAGAAGTGACAAGCAGGCACCCAGGTCCAACTCCCTCACTCAGTCAAGAGCTGTGAGCCAGGCAGGGGCCCAGGGCAACAGCTGGGTGGGCTGCAGTGGAACGCCCTTCCTGAGGCACGCAGGGTGGTCTGGCTTGTCCCTCCACTGCCTAAGTATACCACAGACCGTGCTGGGAGTGGCTGGGCAGTGCCCTAGAGGACACAAGTGGGCAAGACTGCTGTGGGACATGCAGAGGCCAATGTCTTCCAGAGACTCTGGCCGGAGAAGGGCCGGCCAGGAGTTACCGCTGCAGCCAGGGCCTCTGCCAGGAGGCTCTTCCTATGGTGCACGGTTTGGGAGAACCTATTGACACTGGGCCTCAGTTTCCCCCAGGGAATACAAGGGTCAGGGATGCTCTGTCATGGACCTTCCCAGAGTAGGGCTACTGTACTGTGCAATTCTCTGGAAACCGGGAGACACTGAGCCACCATTCCTGCCTGGTGGAGCTCCCCCTCGGTTGTGCTCAAAGGGACCCAGGTGCTGGCTTCTTGTACAGTCTTGGCCTCCCCCATGGGGGAATCTGAAGGATTTGGGCAGGATTGCTCCAATGGTCATCCATAAGCAAAGCCTGAGAAGTCCCAAGCCAGTCTTTACTCAAGTAGTCCTTTTCCATATCCACTGACCTTGGTGTGGGTTAGGGTGCGCCAGGTTAGGGCAAGCGGGGGGGGGGGGATGTCATATGTGAGGGTGGCTAGGGACAGGATCAGAGAGAAGAGGGATGGGGATGAGGGAGTCTCCTCGCCTACTGTTGTATGTGAGTCACCAGGCTAAGTCTCAGCTGCTGGCAGACTGGAGCCCAAGGGGGGGGAGCCCTGTGTGGCGGGGCTGTGAGGGGCTATCTCTGGGTACTCCCGAGTCTCAATGCGCCACACCTCCAGGAGCCCGTGGCCCGGTAGGGCCAGCACCTAAAGTGCTAGACACCCTAATTGGCAGCACATGCAGGCATGGTCTGGAAACCGCGGCCCCTAGCAAGAAGCCCAGGGCTGGCCAAGGCCCGCTCTGTGACTCTGAGGGCTGAGAACCATGGCACACGTTACCTGGGCGCCGGTGAGGATGACAGGTTTCTGCAGGTTTTCCAGCATGAAGGAAAGCACCGAGGCGGCAAAGGCCATGGTGTCTGTGCCGTGGATGACCACAAAACCCTGGTACTGTGTGTAGTGTCTCTGTTGAGAGGGATGAGCTCAGGGCGGGCCAGGTCTCTCCACCACAGGCCTTCTGGGAACATGGCTACAGGCAGGCATCTCCTCACAGGCCATGAGAAAGAGGAAAGGTCTGGGATACTGGTAGAGGGCTTGGTGTGGGGCTATTTCATCTCCCCCGTAGGCCCTCTCTGGAAGGTCAGTCTCTGACTGGAGTCCCCTGTAGCTTGCTTTAAAGAATGTGGGAACGTGGGTCCCAGGGTCTCTGGACACTGCTAGGAACAGCTCTGCAGACTTCCAGCTGGTGCCTTCCAGGAGCAAACTAGCCATGCCGGACACCTCTAACCATTACTTCCCGGTGGCATGCTAGCCATAGTTGTGGCTACCAAGACAATAGTTCTGAGGGCTGAGAAGCTACTGCAGGAACCTCTTGACTCATTGGAAGGCAGAGGAGCTAGGAAGTCTCATGGAGCAGCGTGCCCTCTGCTGGCCATATGAGGTACAGCCGCATCGTGTCCGAGGGATGAAGCGCACTAGTGCCCAGGAGACCTTCATGAGCCTGAGGTGTGGCCTGCCCTGCTTCATGACAAAGGAGCACCATCCGGAACCTAGCCTGGAGACCCTGTCGATCTCATGTGAGGAAGGCTGCCCCGGGCCACCACAACCTAGTCTGGGAATGCCTCCCAATGGCCTCATTTCTGAACCGGGAAGCTCAGAGTTGGTGGAAGCTGCCTGTCTTCCAGGCAGCCAACTGGGACTGGCCAGAGACTGCAGAAGCCTAGATTGCTCTGTTCAGGGTGGCAGGAGCTTCTCAAGGGAGGTTAGTCAGAATAGCTATGGCTGGGCCTGCGCCTGAGAGCTAGGTCTGGGGCTGTGGGAGAAGAGGGAAGCTAAAGGGGGCAGCTCCAGGGTAAAGCAGCTGCCCTTGACGCTAGACCACCAGCACCAGCCACTGCAATGAGACTCTGATGCTAAAGCCGCTGAGAGCCGACTCTAAGGAAGGCCCACAGAGCCAGTCAGCCCCCACATGCCCCTACCACAACACTAACTGGAACAGGTCAATCGTATGAGAAACCAGCTTCTGCCTGTATGACAGAAAGGGCCTGTGGTGTGTGGTCCAGGACCCCGCACTTTCCTGAGGCCGCCCTGCAGGTCTCAGGCGGACAGACAGACAGACTCTACCACAAGCCCAGAGTTCCTCACCTGTCCAGTGCTTCTGCAGGGAGCCTGTCCTGCCCTCCAGTCCTATCCACACCTGACCCTCCCCACACCCCAGGTCCTTCTATGCTCCAGGCCCTACTACACGATCCGCCCATCCCCCACCCACACCCCACAGCCCCACACTCTACCTCTATGGTTTGGGCAATCTGAACCCACTCAGTGATGGTCATGTCACTGGAGTCGAAGAGTGGCTGGCACTCCAGCACCGTGTAGAGAATCCTCTGGTCAGGACCGGCGGGGCTGCAGGAGGCAGAACCTGTCTCCCACTCTGCCCTCCTGACCCAAAGCCCCCACTTCCACTGCCCTCTCCAGCGAGGGGGGCGGGGCTGTAGTGTGGGTGGGGCTATGGGGCGGGGGCGGGGCGTTGGGCTATGGTTGGGGACTTGTAAGCACATCCCCCACTCCGGCCATGCGGAAGGGCCTTTGTGATGAGTGTGGACAGACTCCACCTCTAGGCAAGTCTCACTCATGTGCACAAGTGCAGCTTCCCCTCTACGTGGGTTCCCAGGGACGGAGACTGCACGCGTCTCCAAGAGGTAGACAGGCTGGCCTTAAGCAATGCCATTCCCTGCACCAGTTCAGACCAGTTCACCAACTCATGTTCACCAACACCAGTTCAGACCAACTCATGGAGAGCAGGGTCTGCCTCACTTGGGCTGGTGACAGACAGTGAGGATACACAAGACAGCCATGCTGAAGAGGCGGCGGCCATCCTGGTCAGCCCAGGCTCCCTTGATAGGTTTGGTACCTAGCCTGGGATACCCTCACCAGGCTTGCTAGAGCTTCCTCTGCTCCTGCCCCTGCGGGCTCAGCTTAGCGGGGAGGAGAGGCAGACAGTGAGCAGAGTCCCAGGCACACGGCAGTGCACATGTCCACCTCCAGTACAAGGTGAAGGCCAACTCTAAAGCCAGGAACTCAAGAGGTGTCAGAGCTGCCACATGCAAATGGCTCACATGGAAGTCCCAGGATGCCAAAGGCTGAGCCCTCTGGCCCTGGCAGGGCTCATCCGCCCTCTGAACCCCAGGACATCTGCACATCATCCCTGCCCCGAAGCCCAAAGGAATGCACTCACGGTAGCACCAGCGTGTCGTCGGGCAGGTGGTGGGCCTGGGCATACTCTTCATCGTGGAACATGTGCAGTGTCCTCAGGACAGCAGCCAGGCCTCTCCCAGGTGCCAGCACTGCAAGCAGGGTGGAGTGTGGGCTCCGGACCAGGGACACCGTAAACTCCCACTCAGACACCCTGCCCTTCCTCCCGGGTCTGGCTCTGGACAGGCGCAGGGGCCAGATGCATCACAGATGTCACAGACCGGGAGGGCTGGGCCACAGCTGCCACTAAGACCCCTGGGAACTTAGGTAACAGTGTCATCTGGAGGCTGTGTCGTCATGCCCTGGAGCTGACTCCTGATTTGAGTCCTAGTCTCAAACCCGGACAGTCCCAGAAGCGCTAAGTACCCCTCTACCCCGACCTGCCTCTGCTTGTACAGAGCACCATGAGGGGTCCATGGGGCCAGGTCCTCTCCAGGGTTAACTCAATGGCTGCCATGTACACTCACGATTCTACCCCCACCTGCCTATATGGATTGCTGGCACCGCCTACCCTTTCTTATCCAGTAGGTACTTCAAGGCCTAGCTTAAGGCAACTCCTCTAGGAAGTCATCTCTGGTGCCTAGGCCATAATGCCCTTCCCATAAGCTCCCTGAGCCACTCAAGGGCTCCTAGAGGGTATGGACTGTGTACAACTCCAAGGTCCAGCTCAGCCCCCCCACCCCCGTCCCCTAAACAGAAGAGTCAAACACACACGTGTCCCCACCCAGCGAGCCCTGCTCCTAGGACGCCCTGAAGGCCAGTACTGTCCAGCAGAGCACAAGCCCCAGCTGTTGCTCTATGCTGCCCTGTGCTAGCTCTGTGACCTTGGGCAGATTGGGTAACCTCCTCGGGCAGACGCTCTGCCAATCCTGCGTGAGAGCCTCCCATCATGCCTTGGGCATGGCAGTGAAGACAACAAGGTCCCCCAGAGAAGCACATGAGACCTCAGGAGGAGGCAGTGGTGTGGCAGTCCTGGGTGTCACGTGGTCACAGCCACAGCCTCTGCTGCCTGGACCTTTCCTGTTGCTCCATCACTATTGCCAAGACCCTGGCCCTTCGACCGCCTGGTCATCATTTCCCAGCATTACATGGGCGTGGTGTGCCTACCGCCAGGGGTTCTGCAGCCAAGCCCTGGCTCCGGGAGTCAGTTCCACACGCTGCAGGCCTGCGCAGGGACCTTTGTCCACCCGGCTCATTCCCAACTACGGCCCTATGTCCCATCTTCAAAGCCAGACCCCCCTGCCTCGTCTCCGATCATATCTGTACAGTCCCTTTGCCACCATATTTAACAAGTGCCATTGTCAGTGACACTTCTGAGGACCCTGGGGGGAATTCTCTATATCTGGCCAGAGTCAGTGGGGAACGGGTCCAGCAGGCTTTCTGCCCCACGCCACACCATGCCTGAATCAAGCTGCCAGTAACTCACCCCAGAATGTGCGGCTGGCGCCGAGGAGCACCAAGGTGAGGGCTGGACCCTGCGGCATCCCCTTAAGCAGCTCACACACCTGCTGGCCTCAGAGGAGTACCAGACTCCAGCTAGATTTGATCCCTGCATCAGCCCGATGCCGTCAGCCATGGTAAGCGTCCAGCCTGCCACTAAGCCAAGGGCCCACCTTCCCTGTGTATACTCTTGCTACACCCTATCTCTTGGGGTAAGGATAGAGCCACTTCAGCACTCCAGCCAGCCCCAAGCCCCCTGCCAGCCCCTCCTCCGATAGCAGCGTAACTCCCGTCTCCCCTGCCCAGCTAGCCTGCAGCTCCAGCTGCTGCCTGCCAGCCTTTAATGGCTACCGGCTAGATCCGGCTATTGAGAACCAGTAAAACCAAATCACACAGGCACCCATGCCGTCCAGATGCAGGCCAGGAACCCTGCAGACTTTCGAGCTGACAAAGCTGCATGCCCCCAGGCCCAATAGGCATCCCACCCCACCCCCTGGCCTGGCACAGAGTCCCTAAAACTTCTTGGGTGTGGTTTGCTGTTGTAGCCGTCACTTATGGAAGTGTTTCATGGACAGTGTTCAGAAAACAGATGAACCCTGTATGTTTAGTTCAGCCCCTTGGGCCCCCAGAGCCACGCCAGGTGTGACCAGAACATCAGTCTGCCTCCACATTCAGGAGCCACCCAAGCCACTCAGCATCCCCGTCCAGGAGTCTGCGCCATTTGTCTTTTGTGACAAAGTTTTTAGAGGTGTGAGTGCGCCAATATCCTGTGAGGGAGAGAAGATGAAGATCTTCCAGGTGGCTCTCGAGGGCACCCGTGTGTCCTTGTAAGAATGGGTAGGCAGGGGACTGCTGCACACAAAGCGGTCATCTGACAACGTGGCAGACAGAACAGAGGTGGCGTCAATACAGACAGGAGGACAGTGGTCACAAACCATGGCCATGGCAGCCACCAGAAGGCGGAGGAGCAGGAAGAGCGCTGTCAAGGCCCTGAGACTTTAAACTTTGTCTCCAGAAAGAGGGACGGACCCCGAGGCTTTCGATGCTGATTGGTCGGCAGCCTTGGGACACCAAGACCTCCATTCTCCACCCGAGTCCCCCTGACAGCAGATGGCACCAGGGTATCCATAGAAACCTGGCAGTTCACCTACAGGGAAGGTGCACTAAGGCTAGGGGTTGACGGACACATCTGCAAGGCAAAGCTCTTCTGTCCACAGGCAACGGCCCCTGGGCACACTGCAGAGAGGTAAGAATGGGCTGGATTGAGGGGGTACTGACAAGACTCTATCTCGGGCCAACTGTGACCCCTAGACAAAGGGTCCACCTTGGCTACTCTGTGCAGAAGCTTAGCCCCCCTGTGATGGTAAAAAGGAACTGCTGCCAAGAGCAGCAGGCAAGAGGCACCCTAGCTGACACAGGAAGCCCTTGGGTGCCCAACATACACCTGGATGCGGGCTTGGGGTCATTGGACACATGCTGTTTTTTGACTGAAAGGGTTGGTGAAGAGGTGAGCCATGCCGTCACCTCTGCCCTCTCCTACCCTGGCAGGACTCGTCGACAGTGTTGGACACTGTTTACCAGCAGGCACATGAGCTGTTCCAAAAGCGACAATCCAAACAGCTTCTCTGTAAAGGAAGCCACCCTTCCCACTCACCAAGGGCCAGGACCCACATAAGCAGGGCCAAGCTGGTTAATCATTCATGCCCGTGGGGCCATCCAGGGCAGGCAGGGCCTGCAGCCCACAGTTCAGCAACCCCCCCCCCCAGCAGGGCAGGGCACAGAGAGGGCTGGGGCATGCCTGAGCCTCAGACTTCAGGCTTAGGTTAATCCCCAACTTGCCATGCCTTGCGTTCTGCCTCATTCCTGGAAACCTTTTTCCCTTTAAAGAAAATCACGGTGCCAACTCACATCTGTGTGTCTGAGGGACAGGTGGCTTCAGCCACACCTCAGGCAGACCAGAGGCTCCAAGTCCCAGCACTGGCTACTCATTCACGTGTGCAGATCCTGTCTGGGGTTCATCAAAGGCCAGACTCTTTTCTAGTTCTCCCTTGTCCCTGGTGGACTAACTCCCGGGGCTCCCCGGGGCTTCTCTCTGAAGAGAAGGGTCAGTGGCTGTAGGCTGTGGGGTCCATGAAGGCTTGGTCTAGCTTTTCTGGAAGCAGCGCTCTGGGGAGCAGAACCCTCAGCTTCGAGCCAAAAGATGCCCTCATGGGAGCTTCCTGCACCTCTGCCAGGGCTCTAAAGGCTGCTGGCCCCTCTGAGCTCCTTGGGTGGAGTGCCTGCCATCCCAAGGAAGGGGCTTGTGGCTTAGGGCAGATGCCTGCCAGTCTCCATCTCTTCCCTGGGCTTGCAGACTCAAGAGCATGGAGCAGGTTCCTGAGGGTCTAGAAAAATCTTTGTTCATTTTTGTTTTTTGAGACAGGGTTTCTCTGTATTGTTTTAGAGCCTGTTCTGGAACTAGATCTGTAGACCGGGCTGGCCTCAAACTCACAGAGATCTGCCTGCCTCTGCCTCCCGAGTGCTGGGATTGAAGGTGTGCGCCACCACTGCCTGGCGGGTCAAGAAAGGCTTCACTCATCTGAAAACCCACACCCTGGGTTTGGGCCGCAGTCTTTCACTTTCCAGACCCATCATGCCCTTGCCGCCTCTTAGAGAACGCAGCACACGATGAGCACCCCAGGGGGGCATGGCGCACAGGGTCCCACAGGTGGAACTGTGGTCAGAGTCCAGTTGTCCCTCAGTGGAGTTCAACAGTCAAGCCTGCAGGCAAGTGAGAAGAGACAGGCCAAATGACAAGCAGGTGGGACAGGGCCACAGGGCATGGGGTCCAGTCCCTGCTCTAAGAAGTTCTGAAGCCTCCTCTCTGAGCCATGCGCCCGCCCCTCCCTCATCCCCCCCCCACACTGCCGCTCCTCATCTCAGTCCAGCAGCCACTCCTTCCAGAAGCCGGTGCTCTCAAAGGAGCCTGCTCACACAGCCCCCAACACGCCCCAGCAGCGTCCCCCGCGCCCTGGGGCCCACTGGCAGACTGACCGTCTAGGGCTCAGCTCCTTAATGGGTGTCGGTATTTTGTCCATCGCTCCAGTGAAAGCCAAGCAACCTGGCCATGGCCCTACCTGCTATACAGTCCCAGGGAGTCCCAAGCAGTGTGGGTCTGAGGACGGTCTTCCCACAGCCTGCATGGCCCTGCCCTGGTGCCCATACTCCTGGAGGACCCTCGGCCCTTACCTTGGGAAAACTAAGAATTCTCTGCAGGGAGAGAGCAGGCAAGCGGCTTTGCCTGTGTCCGTCCCTCCCCTAAGAAAGCAAGCACACGCGCTAGAGGGTGTGGAATGTTCCAGCATCCTCCCATAGCCCTGGGCACAGAACACAGCCATCTTCCCAGTTCCCGCCTCTGCCCTGTGTCCTGTGGCTTCAGGACGCTTCAGGTCCGGAAGAGTTGCCAAGCCCCTCACCCCTTCCTTCCAGGGCCGGGGTTTCAGACTCCCAATCACCAGAGGAAGCGCCCCCCACCCACCGCAAGGGAGCCTTAGAGCTCCCGGGGCCAGGCCCTGAGACCACCCTGCCGAGGGCGTGGGTACGCTGACTCACCACCGCCCTCGCTCCTCATGCCGATGGTGCCGCCAGTGTAGATGGCCAGCAGCCGCCGCTCAGGTCCCGGAGCGCGAGCCATGGTGGGACAGCCAACTCCTTAGGCAAAGCAGGACTGGGAAGCGGCGGGGCCTTCAGGGTGGGGCTTACTGGAGGCCTGGGGCTCTTCTGGTTGGTGCGGGCTGAAGGTCCGAGGTAGGGGCTGGACCTCAGGGTGGAGGAGGAGTCGCCTTCGAAGTGGAGAGCGGGACACTTGTAGAGTGCAGGAAGGATGTCTGGTGAGGATGGGGCTGAACGCATAGGGGGCGGGGCCTCGTGCATGGGGCGGGCTCTCTGGGTTTGCCTCACCTAGTTCAGAGGGCAAGGACTTCCGGAATGCCAGTTAGGGTCATTGTCCTGCCCAGGCAGCCCCTACAACTCTTGGGTCCCAGCACCGCTGTGTAGACCCTCTACACACACACTCCCTGAATGTCTAGGGCCAGGCTGAGCTATCCAGTTTCAGGGGACACTGGCACTCACTTGTAATCTAGAGGCACCAGGAGGGTAGAGACAGAGCAGACCCAGCCCTTCAGAGGGAACTGAGGGCTGTCCCCAGGAATGTCCCCTCCAGACTGCCTTAGGCAGGGGTGAGGCTACTTCAAGATCCCAGTGACCCGCTGGGTGGTGGTGGTGCACGCCTTTAAGGCAGATCTTTTGTGAGTTCTAGGCCAGCCTGGTTTACAAGAGCAAGTTCTAGGACAGCTAGGGCTACACAGAGAAACCCTGTCTCAAAACAAACACACAAAACCAGCGGCAGCAGATTCAGAGCCTTGCGGAACCTCTCTGGGGTCCTTGGTATTTCTAGGAACTTGGGTACCCAAACCTAACTCATGCTAATCTGTCCCCCGGGGGATGTGCCCCGCCCTGTTAGCACACTGGCTTTGTGGAGATACCCCAGCTCAGAAGTTAAACCCACGCAGGAAGCAGGTGACTCAGCTGTCACGGGCTGTCACCTCCCCAACTCTGCTCTCATTCCTCTGCATCCACTTCCTGCTGAGGTGCTCTCTGACTTGGTCAGATGCCTTTAAGTTCCCGTTCTGGGGACATAGCTCTTGTCCTTCTTGAATTCGCCCTCCTGTGACAGAACAGGGTTAGATAAAATGCTTTAGAGGGGACAGTGACAGCTGTAAACAAGAGGACATGAAGACGATGGTAATGCTTCCACAGGTGGCCACGGTCTGCGCAGAACATGGCAGAGGACAAACATGCCAGGCAGCGAGCGCAGGCACCCAGGGTGGGTTTTTTGTCAACTTGACACAAGCTGCCGTCATCTGAGAAGGACTCTCACTGAGGAAACGCTTCTGTAACCTGTTGGGAATTTTTTTTTTTTTTTTTGATAGATTGATGTGGGAGGGCCCGGCCCACTGTGAGTGGTACCGCTCTTGGGCAGGCAGGTGGTCCGGTACCATAAGAAAGCAGGCTGAGGAATCCACGAGGAGCAAGCCAGTAAGCAGCACCCTCCACGGCTTCTGCTTTAGCTCCTGCCTCTAGGTTCCTGCCCTGACTTCCTCCCAAGTTACTTGTGGCCATGGTGTTTATCACAGTAATAGAAACCCTAACTAAGACTCTTGCTAAGTCCACATAATGTCCACACCAGTGAGGCAGGAGCCCTCAGAGTGCGCTCACTGGCTAAGGAGGGTTGCTAGGGGACACTCTAGATCCTTAATGTGATGGACCTCTGCTACTGTTTGGGGGAGTCAGAAGCAAGGGCGAGTAAGAGGGTGGGGCCTCTTGGGAAGTCACTGCAAGTAGGTTGAGGACCACAGCGAGTGTGTCGGGAAGATGGGCTGACGCTTGGAGTGTAAGCACAGAATCCACACTGGCTCTTTTGTCAATCAGTTTTCCATACTGGGACAAAAGACTAAAGAAAATCAACTTATAAGGAAGGAAGATTAGCCAGTGTGGTGTAACCTCCGCACTCGGCAAGCTGAGGAAGGAAGATTACAAACTCAAGTTCAAGCTAGACTACATAATGAGATTCCGTCTCAACAAAACCACACTAGACTGGCTGTGGTGTTGCATGTGCACGCCTTTAATCTCAGCACTGAGGGCAGTGTGGGGGCAGAGGCAAGCCGATCTCTGCGAGCTGGAGGCCAGTCTGGTCTACATAGTGAATTCCAGGACAGCCAGGGCTACACAGAGAGTTCTGTCTCCGAAAAACAAAAAAGGAAAGAAAGGAAAGAGAAAACATTGATGAAAGAAAAACAGAAAAAAAGGGTTATTTTGGCTCATGGTATGTAGGCTTTGGTCTCTGGTTGGCTAGGGAGCCCTTGTTTTGGTCTGTGTCCGGCAAACCATCATGGTGTGACGCCTGACAGAGCGGTCTGTTCACCTTATGACAGCCTATGAGAAGAGGCAGACCAGGGGTCAGGATCCAATGTCCCCCTCAAGGACATGCCCTAATGATTAAGCTCCTCCTACTTGGCCCCGCCCATTAAATATTCCCCAACCTCCCAACAGTTCCTGGGGCAAAAGCTGAGCCATCAACACTTGTGCTTTGGGAGACACTGCAGGTCCTAACGCCAGAGCTCCCAGCTTCTGAGCTGGGCAGCCTCTAGACAAGGTTGTTGCAGAGTTGAGAAAACCCAGGCAATAATGACCCCGTGTTAGTAAATTCTCTGCCACGGTAAAATAATAGCCAAGGAAGTCACCTTAAAGGAGGACATGTTTGTATAGGCTCATGGTCTCCAAGGTTTCGGTCCACAGTCAGTGGGCTGTTCCTTTTAGGTTAAACAACACAAGAGAGGGCATTGTGGTACTGGTATGGAGCATGCTATGTAAATAATGAATAAGTGCTTGATCATGGAGCCACACCCCTACAGCCACATCCCTACAGCCACATCCCAGAGAACGTTTATAATAAAGCTCCCTCTTCCAAACCCATCCCCTGTGAACCCACAAATGGAGCCATTTTTCCCTCAAGGTTAGCGCCCTCAGGATCTAGTCACCTCTCAAATGCTCCACCTCTGAATACTTGTGCTGGAGACTAAGCCCTGGGCCCTGCTCTGCCCACTCCCTCCGTCCCTGCCCACTTTGGTTTTATACCACCTTCTCCAGAACAGTCCTGAGACTGCAGCCCTTGACCCAGCAGCAATAAATGCCTTGTGGAAATAGCAGGAGCCCAGCAACCCACATGGTGGCACACCCTCCGGATGCTGCTGACACTAACCAAGATGAGGAGCCGCTATTCTAGCCCAGGCAGGAGCTAGCACACCATGGCTCACAGGGAAAAGCTGTCTTCCCTGCTTTGAATAGAAGACAGCTTTCCCAGGATGGCTGGGCCCACTGTGAGGGACAAGCCCAGACCTGGGAACATTGCAGCTGGCTTTCCAGCAGTCAAATAGTTGCAGAAAACCTGTGTCCACCTAGGTTCTTGTCCCACCCTCCTCCAAGAATGCAGTGGGAAGCCAGACATTTCAAATGGGAGATGCTTTATAATCGGTGGGGATAAACTGTAAATGGGATAAAAACAAACTGCTACACTGTTTTGAAATGAGTTCCTGGAAGCTACAGGATGCTAGCTGAGAGCTGATTCAACCCCCGGAAATACTGTAGTGCAAAGCTCTCTGAGGCCTTGGGATGCCAAGCAGGAGCTATCCATTGCCCATCCTATCTGCAGCTCTGGGAAGTGTTACATCCAAATCTCTTCCAGTGCCAACCAAGGACCAGCCCTTGTAGACTAACCCTGAAGGGCTGAGAAGTGTCCCAGCTCTCCCTGACTTCAGGAGCAGCAGATCTCTGAAATGATGGCTCGTCTCCTCCATGTCTGCAGATTGGAAACTGCCACAAGACTGAATTCCTGAAGCATGGTATCTCAGAGGCCAAGGCAGGAAAAAGTACAAACTTACAGAGAACCAGGTGGGGCGAGCTGGATCCTGACTGACATACAAGCAGAGCCCACCAAAAGTTGCTACAGTTCACAGCCAGGTCTCTGCTGATGCTTAACTTGTAAGAATGTTTCATCCCTGAGGGCCTGCGGCGCCTGGCACGCCCACCCCCACCCCGCCTCCCCGCCTCCGGCCTCCCGGCCAGCAGTTCTTTGTTGGTTTTGAGGATGCTTCTGTGCTAACAGTCACCAGCATCGGAGTTCAGAGCTGGGCCGGGAGGAGCACAGGGGGTGTCTTCCACCACTGCATGGCCTCACAGGGCAGGCCACTCTCCGCAGGGTGCCTGTCATTCCACCTTAAGGCTAGGGGACCTCACAGCTGTGGTGAGCTGTACCACACAGATGAGGGATGACCCCATAAGGTACAGAACTCACAACATGTTAGTGTTCCCCCATGGCCGTGGGTGTAGAGAAAACCCGGGAACAAGCCTCACTAGCACACCTACGGTCCTCCGAGTGTGGCTGTCTCTCTTGCCTTCCACTGTGACAGCCTCTGGGGTGACGACCTGGAATTCTGTGAGCCCCGTAGGTATGGTGCTCCAAGGACCCTTGAGTTGGTGCTGAAGCAGATGCTTGGCGCCTGTTGGTCAGGCAAGGGAACAGAGGCAGGGACCGTGTGGCACCGTGAGCACAGGCAGGGGCGTGTGGAACCGTCAGCACAGGCTGACAGGGGAGAGGGCAAGGTCACAAGCGCAAAAGAAGGGCAGCAGCCTGAGCCGTGGGGAGAGGTCTAGGTGCAGGGAGGCTCTGGGGGCCCAGGGAGACCTGAGCACCCTCCCCAAGGCCTGGTGGGGAGGGGCTGTGGTGAAGCAGGGCTTCCCAGCTCTGCAGCACAGACCTCAGTGCATCCTTTGAGGGACAAGGCTCAGGCCACTGACTCAGCTGGAGCCTGCCCCGTGTGACATGGGCACGGCACTCTGAGACAGCCACTGTTCCAGGTGGGTCAGGCATGGGCTCCAGCTTCGTCTGAAGGTCAGTGAGGTCTTCTGTGACTCACTGTCTCTTCAACAATGAACAGTCCCAGAGAAAACAGCAGCGGCAGCACGGTGGTCCCGCAGTCCCCAGCAGCAGAACCCAACAGTTCTGGGCGCCACAGGGTGCCACAGCGCCCACACACCACTCAGCAAGGCACAGAAGTCTCCAGCAGTAGTCTACAAAAGAAAAACAAACCCAATCTCAGCCCCCACACAAATGCTAGCAGAAGGGCTTACAAACCCAAGAGAAAATGCTGAAGTAACAGTTTCCAGAAGAAAAGAAAAAAGGACTTGTTCGTGGCCCTGAGTCCACTCTAGGCACCAGCTACAAAAATTCCAACTCAGCAAAACAAGCCATCCTAACACCAGGCTTCTACTCACCACAACTAAATCTATACAGTGA